GGGGGCGGCGGCGGCGGCCTTTTGGTAGGAGTCCAATCGCGGGTGTCCGCGCGAATTATGGTGTCTGTTCGAAAAACTGACAAGCGACCGCCGTCACCGTGCGCGCGTAGGTACCTATATATATATACATACGTGATAGGTATGTGATTCTTTTAACGGCGTCAACGCTGTAGCTCATTATTTTGAGTTTTTTCGGAAGACTTGAGAAGATGCATAATAATATCCCTTATGTATATATATAACGTATATAATATGTGCGATTTTAACATTATTATAATTTATAACCATTATATTGGGTACCCTTATTTCGTCGTCCCCGGTGGTTTGAGTGAAGGCTGTAAAGGATTGTAAATTGAGACTTTATGAGTGACATTCTTAATTTTTAATATTATTTTTAACACTCGTTCATTTATTCTAATTTATAAGGCGTAAATATTATACATTTGCGTATATTCATCCATCCTCCCCTTATTAGATACCTACAGGCCCTCTCGACTACAGTTTGCACTCGGCAGCATGCACAGGCGTGCGTAGACCTATAAGATGATGGAACATACAAAATCAAATGGCCTAAATTTATAATAGCTAGTAAAAATGTACCCACATTAAATATGTTCAAAAATCTATTTTTCTAGATATATAATGTATAAATTAGAATATAGTTATCAGTTGACTTTGATTTTAAGTTTAAAAAATATGTCTGATCATTTTCAGAGAAAAGTTAAGTTATTTTTTGAGCTCAGATTCATTAATCATAGTGGATATAGTAAATACATTCAAATATTAATTTGAAAACCATGAAATAATCAAAATAATATACCTACCACAAGTCAATGGTCCATTGCAACTACCAAGGCTTTGACTTTAAACAAAATGGAAGTGTATCTAGTTTGTACTTTAGGGCGTCAATTTTTTTAGTAGTTTACAAAAGGATAAGAAAAAACCATAAAACATTTTAAAAACGGGTATTATACTTAAAACCTAGTTTTGACAAAATCTATTTAGTTTTTGGGGTAATAGAAACGTAACTCAAAAACTGTTATGATTATTGTAGATACCTTACATTCTTACCAACTGTTTATATGATAATTTACTCTACATATTGACATTTTCCTATAGGCTATATTACACTTATGCCCCCCCCCCCCGTCCTCCAAAAACACACTATAATGGGAATTATAGAAACCAAATTAATGGCAATAATAATCATGGTATTTGAAATCTGAATAGGTATAGTACACATAGGTACCTACTGATAAATAAAAATTATGAGTGTAGAAAAATGCTTACAATATACATTGCAGTAGGTAGGTAGGTACCTATTTATCTTTAATTATTCAATGAATGTTGATATTAATAATATTATCAATTATCATTACTGTTCTTCTACTTAGGTAACCGTAAGTATAAGGCTCTCGCATACTGCAGCTGTACAGACAACTATTTACTACATTTAGTGCACTAGCCACCAATGCATCCTCATTATTTATTATTTATTATTTATTATTATAATCAATAATACATACGACCTTGTAAGTATGCAATTATCATGTCTGTAGATATCTTTAAAGGTTTACTAAGGAAACCATACATAACTGCATTAGATATGAATATAAATATATATTTTGTTGAATCACAAGGGTACCTCTTATATAGGTACCAAGATATTATATATACTTATAATCTATAATCACTCAAAGAACCCAAGTTTTACATGGTGTAATACAGGATGGGTATTATATCCATCTTGGCTTAATAATTGTATTATCATTTATCAAGGGGGACATTATGGACTTAACTTCACATAAATATGCCACTGCACCGTGCTATATTCAGCGCCAATGACACTACTGCCGTCTGCCATATTACCTACCTATATTGGCATATTGCTCTACTAATTACTATATTATGTTGACAGCGTACTAATATAGTACCTAACCTATGTATTGTGTGGCAACTGGCAAGAGATGAAGTGCGGAAAGTAAAGCTATTTAGGGCGACTAGCCTCAGGCGAGGGCTGCGTTTCACTTAAGAGTTTGAAATTGCCTTGCTCCACGCTCGCCTGCAGCAGATATGTCACAAGACACGACTGTCATTGGCACTATTTTTGTCACGTAGGTATTCGCCGCCTCCGTGGTGATGCATCACCAATTTTAATGATATTACGACATGTGTAAATGGTCATCCATATGAAGCTGCATCATTATTTCGCCGCTATTGGTAGAACAGCACGATTCTCTCGGAGAATCTAGTAAATGTTTGTTGGGTTTCGACAGAGATCAAGAAAATGACGATGAAAAACATAATAGACATAGAAAAAGAACAACATCTACCGTTCGGTTACAAAGTCCATCTGTTTCCTCATATTTTGTTTCTCAGTCAGTATTTGATTTGGATTTATATAAACCGAATGGAGAATTTACAAAGGCTATATTATTAAAAACTGGGAATACATTTCAAAATAATAATAATATTTGAAAAAAGACGGGTTATAATTTTTATTTTTTATTATTTTTTTTCATTTATCATTGACGGATTTCATAAAAAAAGTCGAACACTGATAACGGGAGCTAGATAGCAAACACTTGGGAATTTTTGAAAGTATCGGTAAGAAATGCAAATAAAGCGGTTGACCGTATACTTTTCAATGGGCCGCCGTACCGAAATCTCCACTCCGGGGGAATTGTCCTACGCCTACAGCTACCTACTTAACATTTGAGATACCTTCAAGTGAAAACTACAGTCAACAACACTTAAGCTGTTTTTCCGCTGTAACGAATACTGCATCAAACACTGTTTAAGCGATTAAATTCGTATGAGTCGTGTGTAATAAAAACTACGAATCGCATTTCCTCACGTTCCAGACGTGAATGTACCACGATTTCCGTCAATAGTTATACATATATATTGTACTTGGGTTGGTATACACACCGTTTGAATACAATTTATTCAAAGTTAATTTAAACTACCGCAGTGATGTGACAATTAATATCGCATATTATAAATCATAAATGTAAATAATGTAATCACAGCTGACATGTCGGTAGCATACGAAATGTGAATACTCAGCAATTTCTTATATATTTTGTTAGAAAATAAAAGATTTTTACTATATTATGTAATAGATGTATATTCATATATAATGAGTATAGATGATAGGTATATGATTTATTGATTTAACAACATCGACCGACCTACATCGACCGACCTACACACCTCACATACATATAACATATTTAATATACACGTAATCGGGTGTTTATTTTGATAATATAATAATTGTGGCTCACACGAATTGTGTGCTACATTACATTTCTAATTACCAATATGAGCGATCTATGGTTCGACCAAAACGTATTCGATCATAAGCCTCGCTCATAAATATTGATATAAATTGTAATAAACCGTCTAATAAACTTAAGAAAATTGCGACAACACAACGTAATGTTATGTCTTATGTACTTTGTTGAATTTATTTTTTAAAACGACATGTATATATGCATATTTATATACAGGTATAAACTTCCGCGCGCTCGGTTTGCGAACGCGGAGGCTACAGACCGAATTCGCAAACGAACCGAATATCGGCGGCTCTTAAAAACCGTCCAGAATGCGATTGAAAAGACGAAACGGATCGAGAAAAAACTAAAAGGTCTAGAAATATGCCTGCAATTTTTGAGATCGAAATCTTGGGCCCCACTAGAAAGAAAACCGGGCTCTGTGGACTGTAAAAACGTATGAGAAACGCGATAGGAGCACGAACGGCGCCGAAAAACGGTCGAAAACTGACAAAGTCGATAGATTTTGAAAAAAACAGACGCGTCTGATAACGTTTAACGCGATAAGGACGGCCGCCGGTAAAAACTGCCCGGCACTCGAGCTCCGGTTACACTGAGGTGTACTGTAGAATGGCTACACAAGTTGTTATTGCATAAAAATTATATTCAATTCAGAACTTTATAATTTATTTATTTGAGTTAGTTAACAATTATTAACAATCTTTAACTTTTTTTGTCTGAATAACACTAGTTTTAACAAAAAAAAATCTTATATAATCAATGACAATAGTTAATTAAGCTATTAAAATATCCATTATGTGAATATTGATTAAGACTTTAATAATAGCAATATTTAGAAAAATGTGAAAAATGATTTTTTTTTTATGTATAATAGGTAAGAATTTGTCATGAAAACATGTTATTGCTATTATTTTTAGTAATCTGATTCCTAGAAAAAATATTTCTAATGCTAATAATTTTAGAATGTTCATACTTCATAATATGCGTCGTAAAATTTTTTAATTACACCATTACAAAAATAAATAAACTACCAGTCTACATAACACAAACACAATATTTTGAATAAAAATACAATAAGAATAGAAACATAATAAAAATTGACTTTAAAATAGCCAAGGTGGGGTTGAGGGGCTCTGAAAATCTGAACAGGAACTTAAAAAAAAAATATATTTTCAAGGACATAACTAATAGTAGAAATCAACTGTTACATATCAGTATATCACTTATACTATAATATAAAGAAAAAAAAAAAATTTATTAGTTTTCCAGTATAAAATATTTAACAATTTCAAGGTATTAATTTTTTTAGGAAATATAAATCTAATAGAGTTAAAAAAATTCTTTGATTTAAAAAAACTATGACTATTTCAAGCGAGTATAAAACAATTACCATTCACAGAAAATCAGAATGAAATAAGTTTTTCCCTAAAAACAACTGAATAACAAATATAGCCGTAAATTTAATTTTAATTCAGTCTGATATGAATTATTAAACATCACATTTGAATTCCTTCATTATAAAACTATGCATACATATCAGTCTAGAATGTTGAACAAAAATCATGATAACATTTTCGAACAAGAAAAAAAATGTATTGTTTCAAAATTTAAGTTAATTTCAATATTATATTTCATATATAATTATTAATTGACCTCTGAAACAACACTCTTAATATCTAACAAATTGAAAATAAATAAATATATTGTAGCAAGGGACAAACAGTATTGATATATTTCTGTTTTTTTTTTAAATTCTCAATTAGCATAAATAGTTCATTAGTCTACAAAATTATTGAAGATTAAAATGAAAACATTTGTACAAATATAAATAATAAACGTTAATCAATTCCAGTAAGAAATAATTTTGCACCAAAAAAATAATTTATTAAAAAAAAAATTTGACGTCAATTAATTTGTAGCAAATTTTTGATAATTTATGAATCAGTTAAAAAGGTTTTAGGTTGTTTCACTACAGAAAAGACAGTAACTTTAGTCTTTACACCTACTGTAAGATGAAAATCACAAAAATTGCATAACCCAATGTTTTTCATGAAGCCAAATCTGTAGCGTAAGCATGATTAATTGTTAAGATATTATTTTAGGAGTTCCAAATATCAATTTTTCAGCCAAAGTTTATTAGGCTTATAGTTTTATAATCATTGATAACCAATTTATCAAAATTTCAGATTGGATTCTATTTAATCCTATTTCAATCAATTATGTCCCTCCTTCTGAGGCATCACGACCACGTTGTTGTTCCAATAAACGTTCAAGTGGTGATGGTCCTGGACCTGACCACAATGACTATGTAAAAAAAAAATTATGTATAATGTTAAGTATAATTACTTTATTTTATTTTTAACGAATAATACCTGCTGATGGAATGTAGCAAATGATCTGTTATTGGGCTCTTGATTTGTATCCATATTACGAGGCATCATAACATTAGGTTGATTAAATAGTGAATAATATGGACTGTTGTTCACACCATTGTAATAATTACGTTGTTGATCATCTCTTATATTAAAATGCTTAAAAATTATAAAAATTAATAGTTAATATTATTTTTTTATTTATTTGTTTTAAATCGTTATACTTACATTTAAATTATTTTGCAATGGTGAATTATGTGCTACTTGGGGAGGATTAACATTTGACCAGGAGCCATTTGGGTACTGCCCAATTGGAGCTTGGTTTTGCATAAATGGAAACATTGGATGATTCTGTTGGTTGCTAAAAATTATAAGAGTTAAATACAATTATTAGAGTTGTATAAGTATAGTATTAATTAAACAGTCTGAGAAGAGTATTCATGCAATTATAAAAATCAAATTAATTTTTTTAGGAAAACTTATATTATCTTACTTTTGAGGTTGTTTAATGCTATCAATCCAACTGGCTGGTGGTTGTGGCCAAGTAGAGAAGTTTGGTAATGGTTGACCAAACCTGAATTGACTTTCAGAAGATGATGGAAATCCACTCATATGGAGCTGACCAAAAGTGTTCATAACTGGATTAATATTAGGCTGAGATGAGTTTAAATTGTTGACAGGGTGTGGCAATTGATAGCCAATAGGAGTTGGTTTTACAGCATTTTGATCTTTTTCAAATTCTGAAGAAGTCTGATCAAGGTCTTCCAATGACCATTTAGCCTCACTGCTAGATGAAGAACTTGGAGATGGAGACCGAAATTTTACCTACACATTATTTAATTGACAAAACAATAATTCATAATCTATAATATATTGCCCTATACTATGTAGTAAGATATTTACTTGTTTGGCCTCAGTATCTTGATTTTTTTTAAACATTGAATCAAAATCAACATTACGCAAGACAGGTTTTATATCTGAATTACTAGAGGATTGAGGCTTCAAAATACCACTTTTTCTTTCACCTAAGATAATATAAAATAAAATAATAAAATATCACATAAAATTATTATTTATTTATTATACTTATTAATAGGTGATAACAATTTAAATAACATACTTGAACTAAGTAACTGCCGTTGTTGATATGATGATAATGTTTCAAGATCAGCAGCAAGATCAATTGAATGAGAGCTGGCCGAACTATTTGGTATTATTTCAAAACTCCATCCTTTATCTTTTTTTCTAACAAAAATATAACAAATTAGCTTATTTATTGCATAAAAATTAAAAATAATTAAATATTCTTACATTGCTTTAATTAATGAATATGGAGTAGACGAAAACCATACACCAAAATCAATCAAACGATTAGCTCTTAGAGCATTTATATTTATTTTTGAAGCATCATCAGGGTTTAGTCTATGATAAAATAATAAATATACATATATTTAAAGAATTAATGTGTTAAAAAAACGATTATAGTTTGACTTACATGAGCTTAGAATGTACTGATTCTAACATAACAAAGCCGTGGAGTAATTTATCTTCTGGTAAAGGAATATGTGAATCTAATAATAATGAAACATTTTGAGTTATCATATGAATTAAAAAGTAGGTAAGTATTAAGTAGGTAACTGTTCTACTAAATAGTGGGTGTTAGATGTACATTGTTTTTCAGTAAGTCACTGGAATGGAATGTTATAAATTAAGACACAATGATAAATCATCGAATACAAAAAACAATTCTGAGCGGAAACAGTAGAGGATTGCACAGGCATGACCTGCTAAATTTGATGTAAATTAAAAAACTTAATTTAAAATCTTTAAATTTGGGGGTCATATCCCAATACCCTAACAGAATTTTTATTGGCTCGGGGTGGGTGTAGTTTAACCCTCCCTTTGATATGATGCTGCTGTGCATGAACTGCGAATGAGGTCTGGACACGCCTATGTGGCCAAGACATTATTTTTTTTACTAGGTAGTCAAATAACATTATAAAATAATTATACAATGGTTTGCAACTCACAATCGTCACTGTTTAAATCATTTGATAATCCGTTCAATAGTTTGCAAAGGCCAGGCCATATTTGCAAGCGACTTTTAAAACCAGGAGAATTTAGAACACTTATATCACTTCTTATCCAATCCAGAATTAGTTTGACTGTAAAATAAGGCATGGAATTATTTAAGTTACAACATGTGATATTGATGGTTTAAAAAAATGTAATAAGTTTAATCATTGAATGAATTTGGTATTTTTTTTAATACCTGCAGGCAATGTATAGTATTCTGAGATATTCTGACTTTCTTTCATTGTGTACAGTGGAAGTAAAAAAGCATTGAGGAAAGTGGCCAGTAAATCAACAACAGGAAAACACTGCATCTTAATTGATGTAGATTCATTTCCAATATAGTTAAATGCCAACATATTAATAGCCACCATCTAAGAATAATTTAATATATGACATGTACATTTTAATAGCAATGATAATATTAATAATAACCTGCTGCAATTTAAATGATGAAAATGATTCAGTAGCAATATGAGGTGTAAATGACAGGGAAAGACTTTTGATGTATCCATCACAAGCTTGCCGTTTCATTATATCTTTTGACATCAACACTCCATGGAAAGCGAGAAATAGTTGGACAAATTCAGTACTAGTGATTTTTGTTTTATACAACATATCTTGACTAAAAAACAATGTAATAGAAATAAAAATGTATTAAAAAAAACAAATTATTAGTTGATTTGTAGAATAAAAACATTTTTTTATTTTTACTGTATTATATTTACCTAGAGCTAATATATTTATTTAAGGTGAAATTTAGATTATTGACAGCTGCTAGAAATGGGTGTCTAACATTAATGCTTCTCATGTAAAAAAATACTGTGCTCAAACTATCTCCTCGTGATGCTTCCAATAGAGCCAATTGGTTGTAAGGTTGTCCACTGTTAGGGCTCAATTGAATGGCATGCCTGTACAAAAGTATAGATTGTGTTAAAATAATAAACATTTTTTAAGACAAGTACTCATCAAATACCTAATATTTGATTATTATTTCAACATTGTTTAAGTTTAATATTGCTATTTTAATTCAAAATTGTTGTGGTAATAATTACCTAAAATTAATATATTTTTTTTATTAGCCTTTATAAAAAATGTAGCTCAACAATTAAAGAATATTAATATTTATTTAAGAAAATTATTATTTTAGCAGTATGTCATGGATTATTTATTATATGTTATAATTATCATATACCATGTCACTAAATAAAGTTTCCTATAAAATACAAGAGTTATAACTGAATTTATATAGATTTTTAAATAACATAAAATGCCTAATAATTATTAAGTTTGCTGTTTTTAATAATACTAAGTACCTATACTCTATTCAGAATCAAAAGATAACAACTAGTGGATAAAAACTGGTAGACAATGTCAGAACTCTTCACTCTCTAACTGACAAAAACATTCTGCCACTGGTTCAGGGGTTTGGACCTCATTTGACATGTCTTCTGAATAGAATATAGTTATATTTATATTTAATAAGTAGACATTGCTAGCATAAGGATAAATGGAACAAGTGTATACATTTCAAAAGAAACTATTATAATTTAAGGATGATATTATAAGGAGCTGAATTAACTGTTATATATTTATACAAAAACAGTTTTATTATAGGTACTATTTTCTAATATAAAGTAATAATTCAATAGTAATGGCTAGAAAGATAAATATTTTAATATTTCAGAGATAAAATGTGGACACAGGTGGTTTAATTTAAGTAGATAACAATATATATAGTTTATTTACAATCAAACGATGTACCTGTAAAATGATTCAGCTTGTCTATTTTGATTACGATAACGAGCGATGTCACCCAGGTGTACCAAACAATATTGACAAATGTAATTGCATGAACTTTTTTGTGGTTTTCGTAGATATGTCGATCCTAAGGACTTATGATCCGTGTCACAAAATCCATACAATTTTCTATGGAAATTAATAATGTATAATAAACTAAATTGAGTACCAAATCATAATCATTACTCATTAGCTATTACATACTTATGGAACGGTAGATCCAAATCAAATGTCAAGCATATGCTGTGCAAAAGCATGAGATAAAAGCCATATGCAGACTCAAGGCACGATAAGAATAGTGCGTTCCATTCATTGCGTTTGGCATTCTAATAAATTAAAAACCATTGATATAAATATATAATACAGGGAAGTGAGTTCTTTAACTATTTGATTCAATCAACTTAATCAGCTTGTGGATGGTACCTTTTTGTCTTTAGCGAGTTGTTGCAACTTGTTGATGTTGTTTTTAAACCCATGATTCCATAGGTCTTGTTCAACTTTTTGGTCCAGAGCATATTCCAAGTCCAAAGTCAATACTTGCTGGTAGATAATCTGGAAAGTAGAAATAAATTTTGATTAAAAACAATTGACGAGAAATGGTAGAGTCTGCATACCCTCAACTGCTGTTGATACGCCAATGTTTCGGGACTGTTTAGGTCCTTGGATGTACATATTTGTTCTTTTAGTAGATCGGCTTTCCTGAAAGAGATAATACATGAGTAAAATTAAACAACCTTTATTGAGCAGCACTCAAATGGGCATTCATACTTTAACGTCTGAATGGCCGTGATGGACACCATGGTGCAATAGTGTCCCCCCACACATGGAACAGTATGAATGTATTTTTCGTTCAGGCGTTGATCTCACTGAGCCGAAGAACGGAAACACCGCAGGACACCATCAACGACCAGTCATTACCGTCCAATCATCATCGGTATTCGTGCATTTGTAGACAATTATTGATATTGTTATTACCTATGTATCTTAATACATTAGGTATAATAACGTTAAGACTTTAGGATTAGGATTAGAAGTGTTTCACACCAATTGTCAAACGTCGCATACACGAAACAGTGTTACGACTACAAAGTACGAGTAACTCTATCGGTCCTCGGCACGCGCGTTATCATTTATCAGTTATTATTACACAACCATAGATAATAATGAAGGAATGCTCACTTTCGGCGGGACTATCATCGAAATAATTTAGAACACCGGCTGATAAGAGTTTTTTTGAACGCTTTTTTAAAAAAAACAACTTAGCGGAAAAAAAGAAGTCGGTTTATTTTAAATGACTTCTAAGTTTACTCACTCAGCAGCAGTTCAGTTGACTTTTTCTCGAATTCAGTTAATGTTGTGGATTTTGCCTGCTGTCCGCTGAATAGCGAACACTCGTTGGGCACACTGTTTCGCGGCGACCACAACAACAACAATAATAATAATAATAATAATAATAGCGCATCATCGTTGAATATGGCGACCTTGTACTGCCGCTGTACGTAAATGATTACGAAATAAAAATTATAAGTTGGTACATAATCTCCGTAAATGTGTTTTAGCATTCCAAAACCCCGATGAAAATACTTTTCTTTAACAAAATCACCGTGTTTTTCTTGCGACGCTGAATTTGCGCTTAATTGGTCGAGCAGCCAAGAGTCGACCATCGGAAAGTCCTAAAGAGGTCTGCGGAGTCGCGTGGACTAAGGCACTGTTGTACACGGCTGTTTATCAATTCTCCTTGGGTGAGTAAAAGACAACAGAAAAAAAAATGTGATGGCAAAGCTGAACCGTATGGGCGTACGGTTGTGATGCTCTTTGTGTTTTTTCGCTGTTGCATTTGCATTGTAGCTCGTTGCAGTGATGTCTTTGAAGTTTGAGCGGTTTGTGTGACGTTTGAAACTTCATTGGATTTACTCACAACGGAATTATCATAAAAAAACAATCTTTGATTTTATTAATTTAATTCTTAACGACTTTTTAGTTTCAACTTGAAAGTAGCGATCCCCAAATTGCCAAAATGACAAAGTCTAATCCCGATATATACCTACCTCTTGTTTATGTTAATATTAAATTACATAATATGTGGGTAATTGGTAAAAAAATTGAGACATACATATTTTGCTGTCCATAAATTGATATTTATATTGGTTGATAAATCAACAGACATAATATTATATTATAGTTATATAAATATCAAACTCAAAATGATCATAAAATTAAATAAATGAATAGTTTAGTAATAATTAGTTAATATTAATTAATTTATAGATCCGATGTTCATTTTGATAAATGCGTCCCGCGTGTTCCCTTTAAAAATAATAGTGGGGTGCACTATAATTTCTGAAAAATTAGTTGGAGTACGCCGGCCCCCCCCTGAAGTCAAGTCCTGCATATAGGTTATTCTCTAATGCTGTATATTTGTTCTTGTTTCATATTTTGATTTATTATAAAAGTAAAATGTTTTATTAAAAATTCATTGCCCATTGAATGTACTTTACCAATTAAACTTAAAATGTAGTCCGTAGTTATTATATATTATCATGAATGATACATTTAATGTTTTAAATAATTTACTTTATTATTTTGCTTAAAACTGTTCACTAATGTGATCTTTGATATAAATGTGTTTTAGATTATACAGAATAATAATGAACAAAAGAGATAAATGGGATATTTGCCGCACCTGTGGAAACATAGCAGATGTTGAAATATTTGGCCTCGATGGAGTGGCTTTACAGCTTGAAGAAAAAATTAATACCTACCTTCCTATTACAGTTAACTAAAAACCAATTAATTTATTAAATGATACGTTTCGAACCTTGTCTTATGATATTTAAATTATAGGTTTCCAAGACTGATAATCTACCACTTAAATTATGTAATGTGTGCATCACCCGGCTAGAAAATTGTCATTCCTTAATTGTATCAACTATTGAAATGAATAAAACATTAGAAGAGGTTTTGAAAAAAAAACAAATAAAAAATAATTCCTATAATTTTGTAAGTACCTGTTTTTCTATACTTAAATAATTCATATATACATCACTAGATAATATCTTCTTTCTATACTTGTAATTAGAAGTATAATAAATTGTATCATATCATTATTAGGTGAACGTATCATTGATACCTATATTTCAGTACAAATATCCCGGGGGTTCTGAGAGCAAACAGTTTACTTTAAATTGTTTTGGCTGTAATTTTGTGTTAAGACACAAAGTGTTAACTGTTTACTAAAATTGGTTTGGTATTTCTGGTACCTACCCTTGATAATACATGTTTGTTTTGGCGATGAACAAATTTCATATTATGGAGTTTCAGTTATCAATCAACAAACTTTTAGCTTTTGTTAACTCCGCAAAAACTTTTAGGTATAATATCTCTTACTGTTATTATAATAGGTAAATTTGGGAAATAATGAAGATGAAAATGTAGAAGATTTGAATCAGGATAATATACAATCTATGGGAATTATGGATATTAATTCTGCTGACGAAGATGACTGTGGAGGAATTGTTACAGTTAAAGAAGAATATTTAGAAGTACTAAGATTTTTTTTATTGCCATGTTCTTATTAAATTCATGATTTAACTACAATAATGTTACTTTTATTTTAGTATGAACCAGTGGACATTGTCAATGTTGGAACTGATCAACTATTTGATGATCCGACTGTTGATGAGTTAGATATGGAAAAAATTGTAGAGGATGATGAGGAAAATGGTAGATTTCAATGTTCCAAGTGTCAGCGTGTTTTTAATTCAGAGTCCAAAATGCGTCGCCACATATTTATTCAACATAATCCTGGAGAAATGGAATGTTTCCATTGCTTTATTAAATATGACTCTATGTTACATTTTGAACGCCATATTGCTACACATTTTACTCGAAATGAATATCTGTGTGACTTTTGTCCTACTATGTTCAATCGAGTGTCTGGGCTACTCGATCATTTAGCTAAACATAAAAATGATCGTCAAAGATTTACTTGCCAAGAATGTGGAAAAGTGTTGGCAAACAGACTTTCCTTCACGATTCACCAACGGACTCATACTGGCGAAAAACCCCATGCATGCAAATTTTGTGACAGAACATTTTCACAGGTCAGTAAATTATAATATTAATCAATATTGTGCTACCATTGTGTCCAAAAGTACGACTTTTCTGATATCTTTAAGAACAATTTTAAATGTTCACAAAATTAGTTTGGTAAATTGTTTTTTTTTTCTTTAAAGTCCCAACAGAGAAAGTAAATAATAAATAAGTAATTTCTTTATATTTGATCTTAATTCCAACTTGAGCTGGATGTATTAAGTCTGGAATATCGTAGCAAATGTTATTAACAGTAATATTTGTTATTGTTGGTGAGAGGAAAGAACATTTGCCACAGGATAAGGCGGTGGTAGAATGGTTAAGTACAGGAAATAATAGCATGGAAGAAAATTCAATTTTAAAAAAGGCAAGAAGGGGAAAAGGAAATAGACAGAACTCAATAAATAAAGAAGCAAAATATGCAGTTAGGAAACTAAATTAAAAATGTCTATGACTTTTATGAGGGGCTGTGACCAAAAAAGAGGGAAAAGGTAGAGTATATATTGGTGACAATATGTTAAAAAAGGCCCAGAGGTTTTTTCAGAATGTTTGTGTATGAAAGAGGTTTAAATATAATGTAAATAATAAAACATTAAACATAATAAAATGGTTCTGACGAGTGAAAAAAAACTTAAAAAGTATTTTAAAAGGTTGCTATGGAAATAGGCAATATAGCTATAGGCATGATATAATTCTCTGGGAATAAACGGAGGAAGTAGAGTGGAATTGAAACCTATGTATGATTGAGTAGGAAGTGTGGAGTGTGGTTATTAAGATAAAAACGAAGAAAGCTATAGAATCTGATATGAAGTACAGGTATGGATGATGTTAGGTAACTTAGGCATGAGTACGTTAACTGATTTTTTTAACTAGATGATGTTAGTGGAATGAAAAATTCTGGAGAAATTGTGTTTTTAGGATCGGTGGTACAAAATAATGGTGGTTTTAACGATGATCAGAAATAGGGATGGATGAAGTGGAGTATATTGTCAGTTATATTTTTTAAAATTTTTGATACTAAAGGATTGATCTTATGAAGCAATTTATGGATTTCCAAGGATCTTAACCGTACTTCATCTATAATTACATAAAGTGTTCTTGGAACTCACTCAGATTAATGATGAGTCACTACGTACACAGCACATTCGTTGTATATAGAATATTGCCTAAATTAAATTCCTTAAAAATGGTCCACTTTCAACAACTCTAAAAAAGATATATCATTTTTAGTTATAAAGGGGACATCTGACTTTTATTGTTTTAATATTGCCCCTTAGGGAAATTAGGGGTTAAGACTCCTTATTTTCTAAAGGGTATGCTGTTAAAATTTCAAAGGTTTACCCTGAAAACTTGAACTTTTTAATTTTAAAAACCAACTTAATTTTAACAAAGTATTTCAACACAAACGAGATACGTTTGAACATTATGGTTCCATACATTATAACAAAATCTCGTTTGATATTAAAAGAAAAACAATGTACCTATAAAAATATTATTACTATACTCAGCCCAGTGAGAGAATGCTTCACGGACTGACCAAAATCAGTTCTGCGCATTCTCACTCGACACCCTGTCATTGGGGAACCGGTTTCGATAGCAGGGTGACGCGAGAGAATGCGCAGAATCGGCGCGTTCTCCCACTGGACGAAGTAAAGTGTACTGCTCTTCAAATAAATATGCATTAAACATTATTATTTAAAATGTAATATTTTGAAACATTTAAAATTATTATGAATAATAATATTGTTATAGATTTCATCAAAACAATATCATGAAAGAACTCATACAGGAGAGACAACTCATCACTGTGAATATTGTGGCAAGGGATTCAATTCAAAATTGACACGAGACACACACAGGCGTATTCATACAGGTGAACGTCCATTTGGATGTCCGATGTGTGATGCTACATTTCGTTGTTTAGCAAATTTACGCCAGCACCAAATGGTCCATGAGCCAGTGAAACCATTCCAGTGTGAGGTCTGCTTAAAACGCTTTGGCCGACCTGAAAAAGTGCGAGTTCACATGCGCACACACACTGGTGAAAGGCCATACAAATGTCCAATTTGTGGACGTGGTTTTACACAAAAGAATGACATGCTCAAGCATACAAATGTCCACAATAAGCCACCCCGAAGGGCCAATTCACAAATAAAGAATTCCGACATACTAATTTCCGTTAATAATAAATCTCCACAGTATAAAAATGTAAGTATAAAAGAACTACAGGAAATTTGTTATGATGTCTCCAACAGTTATGACAGCTCAGAAAACGGAAACGAAACAGAAAGTAGTTCAATGCTTTGATCGAAGGTCAATGGCGATTTAATCGAATGTTACAAATAAATTATTTTGATAAAAATGTTATGTTAATTATTAAGTCTAGACTATTGTTGAATTCCTCATAATAATTTTTTTTACAATACATGTACATAACACCAATTGTCAAATATGATATAAATTAATATTCATATGATAAACCATTATAATTATTGTTCTTTAATTTTATTTTGTGTAAAGAAAAACTACCCACAATGTTCTATACTTACACACTTAAATATTATGCCATTAAGGTGTTAATAATGTTCTATTATCATAGAGTTGAAATAAATTAAACTCTAAATATATTGTGTAAAGGCTATGTGTCCATATAATTATGTTAATAAATTAAATTGCAAATTAGACTTAATTTTCGGGGACTGTTGATTGCGTCCCAGACACAGGTAAATGATTATTTTCCTACCTTTCCTGTGTTCCGATTGCGTCCTATTATATAGTAAGGTAAGCGCTAAATACACCTCCCGATCCAGCCTTTTATACCTTTCCAGTGTTGCAAGTCGGCGACTTATATTATTTTTCCAACCTTTTTTATGTTCTGATCGCGTTAGATAGATTAGGATATGAATTGTCATAATAAGTAATAATTATTTTCTCAGTGATGTTCAAAAAATAGTACGAAAACAAATAAAAATGAGTCAAAATATATTAATCGAAAAAAGTACATACTGGTCATGAGATACAATTTTCATAAGCTCATCATGTGAAAACGAAATCTCCTTTAAATAGATCTGCCCACCATCATATAGGCCAAATATACTAAGTGTATTTGACGCCTACCTACTATACAATAGAACGCAATTGTAACAGAGAAAAGGTAGGAAAAAAATCGTTTACCTATATCTGACTTGTGGACTCAATCGAAACACTGAAAATGTATAAAAATTTGAAATGGGACACAATCGAATGACACTCTATTTGGGAGGAGGAGCAGTTGCTCCAGGCAGCAGGGGCGGAAAAAAAAGTCGATACTATTGTTTTTAATGTAATAAAAATAAATTAGGCCTATTCCCCACAATCTAAAAAGAAGAGGTGGAGTCATCATAACTCGATCCAGAATAGGGCACAACGCATCTCACCCACTCCTTTCTCATCTCCAAGAACCTGCCCCAGTATGAGACGCACGCAAGGAAAAACTTTCAATCGATCACATAATTGTCAGACGTCCAAAATATGCCGAAGTACTGAAAATCTTCTCCAACCCAACTTCTCTCCAACTAGCGTTCAACCAAGAAAACGCAGTAGCAATATACAAGTTCTTTTATATCGTAAACTTAAGTAATGAATTGTAAACATCTGTACATTTTTCATTCTGATTTGCTCAACCTGTTTTTCTTTTCATCTCTATGTTGTACAACTATAGACTAATAACTACGTGCTTCTTTTATTGAAATTGCGTCACCTGGATTGAGCTCTAATATGATATTTTGTATTTCTTTAAAATATTCACAGTAATATGAGACTGCTTTTATCCATGTACTCCAACGAATTATAATGGGCTGGGGAAGTAATGGTATATTCGGTAATGGTATATTTTTAAAAAATAATACACGTGCTGGAAACTTTAAAAATATTTGTTTTACCTTAGAAATCATTTTGCCAACATTTGAAAATCGCTCTCTTATTTCTTCAGCAACCCTATGTACACAATGTGCTAGGCACGTTATATGCACCATCTTAGTATAGAGCACTCTAATTGATTTTAAAATAAAAATATAACCCTCATACTATATTATATTATTCTAATATTATATATTTATATCAATTAAAAAAAAATCAAATCATGTTATTTTCAATAACTGAGAAGTATACAAAATTGTATAATAAATGGGGAAAAGCAACGAAATTGCATTTAAAATAAAAAAATGTCTAAAATTGCAAAAAGTTCAATAAAAACTTTAAGATTTTAATTCGTACTCACATGAGACGAATTTAAAACCTACTTAGCAACAAATCTAAGTAATGGAAAAAAGTTGCAAATGCAACAATTTCCGAGGCCTACTAATAGTAATAACCAGAGGCGTAATTTGGTCATGTTTGGGGGAGGGGATGAAATGTTTTAACATTTTACCCCCCTCCCCCCTAAAAAAAATAAAAAGTATTTATTATAAGCACCTTTCAGTATAATATATTTATGTACAAATGAGACGTCATGGAATAAATATTACAAAATATTCACATTTACAAATACTGAATAGGTATTATAAATTGTTGTCTTATTGGTATCTTTATAACAGTTAAATGCCAAACAGTTACAGTTTATGCTTTGATCATAATAAGAGATCTACTCTACGTGGCTTTAATGCTAATTCGTTAATTACTTCTTCAGGGTTAATTGTTATATTTTTATGGATGGCTAACATAGCGAGGCCATTTAATCGATTATGCGGAATAAACAGTAAAGAGTTAGATAAAATACTTAAATGCAATCTCTATCACATAAATAGGTATTGAATATATTAAAGTTCAAACCTCAGACATTGTGTTCCTTAAATATGTACTCTTATGAAGAGTTTCTTCAGTTGTGTAAATAATAATTGTAGAATCGAACATTTTTCGGAGAGAACTTTTCAATATGGTTTGTATTATGTGTAAGGTGCTTATGCTGGTAGCTTGGAGATGGATCATACATTTTGTAGATGCAAAAATTTTATAAGTAACCAACAACACTTTCAGAACCGTCTGGTGTGGTGGCTACACGTGTGTAGGAGACTTCTGCTCAAAACTCACAATTATTATAGTACTCGGGGACGGATTCACGGATCCAGGATTAGGTCTAGGGGCCCAGCCATCCACAATAGCTCCGGATATGTGCCTGAAAATTATGTTTAACTTCTCTGTTGAGTGTTGTTTGATGTAATAAAAGAATTAATTTCGCTAATGTTTATTATTATTATGATCTCCAGCTACGTAGCTGTATAGTAACGAGTTACGTGACTTTCTGTATGATTTTTATTGCTCGACGAAGGTTTGCAGTTCGAACATATTTTATTGTCACGTCGAAGTTTTAATCACTTGACAGTTTGACACTCTACTTGAACTCTCCACAACCGACCAGATACTTGTTCGATTCAGATACCTGGGCATCTAGTGCATTAGTGCATATCTATCATGTTGAAACGAATACAACTTTTTTAAAAACCAAATATCAATTACATGAGTTTTGAGTAGGTTGGTACATCGTGCATAATCATATAACGTTTAGAAAAACTATATAAAAAATTCCCAATCTCAATCAACGAGCATTGAAAAGAGTTAATCTTCAAAACACATATAAAATCAGCCGATTAATTTCGGTACCTATAATAAATATATACGCTTTTGAAATTTATTTTTAATCATAATATTATTACAATATTTATACATAATATATCATATTATATTATAATGCATGATAAATTTATAATAGTGTTATAATAAATTATAATATAAGTTACCTAATCATTTCTCGAAAAATGGCATCGTTAGTGTTTTAATTTGATAACATGGTAAATAAAATATAGACAAATCATATTCAATAACGTTCAAGCTGTAGGTAAATAACATAACAAGGTTTATAACTTATATAGGTACACAACTCGAAATAACAACCGATATAAATCAATAATCTTTTATATTTTAAAATAACGATTATGCATGTACTCTCTAGCATGACACAAGTAATATCGGTTAGCGCCGACTCATTCCTGCGATTTACAAATTATAGAAAACGTATACATGGTAACAAACATCGGTTCGAGATATATGTGATCGTCGAATCAAAAAAAAAAAAATCGTATATCGGAATATAATATAAGTAAGGGTAACACTATTTATTACAATAACACTATAACATTATTATGATAGTCTAATATTATGGAAAAAATTGACATTCATTTTGATTAAAACACAATATAATAATATATATCTTATATATTACCACTAAATACGTAAACACACTATAAGTTAAAAATATATCGGTTATACTATCTAAATAATTTCATAACGTCGAGTGGCCGCTGCAGGGTTGGGATAGTTGAATGATGGGCAAGTGCCTAGGGATACCTACATTTTACCAGTAAAATATTTAGCTGGCCACGTGAATTTACATTTGGTATTCACACGCCGTATGTATATAGAAGGGGGCCAAGCACACTCATCTCTATTTTTTCTTTAATGACGGACTCACTAAAATTCTGGGTTTTGAATTGTTTGAGTATTTCCACTTCCATACCATATTTTCAAATTAATTGATTTAGTGCCTATGCCATTTAAGTATTGTCCAGTGTCGATAGATACTTTTTGTTTTCATGTGAGAACCACCATTTTTTATTGTATGTCGTCAAGCAGATTTTTCTTTAAATGTTGATGTATATAAATAGAGATTTTATTAAAAATCAGAATTTTAGTAATTGCATTGTTAAAGGGTAAAGTGGCGGTGTCGGGTGAGCATGATTCGTGAATCACCCTGTATACATATATTGTCAAATGTCATTTGAAATGGGTAGTGTTGTGGAAATAATAAATTAATATAATCTGTGTACCGGTATCGGAATATCCCGCTAGGTATCGAATATGAATAAAATCTGAAATAGAATTTATACACTGCCACTCGATGCCATAATAATAATATGTACGTTTATGGTTTACTAAATCTTAATTGCATTACTTTATATTTTGGGTTTCAATATTGTACCTACTCTCATTCTTATCGATAGGTACCGCTAAACTCTACTTGATAGGTTAGTATACAAGTACCTATGTACCTTCTAGAAAAACGATATGATAATTTTTTTCACACATATTATACATAATAATAATAAAAATTGTATTTTATATTTGTTATATCAGGAGTCAGGACCCGTTCCCAACAATATAACTGGAAAGATAGATTTTCTTTTATAAATTAACATTGTTTAATAATAATTATTATAACATAAAATATAATATAAAGTTTCGAATATTGCGCTGCATACTCGACGGCATGTCGCCGATGGAATAACAACGCATAGATCGTGTAAATATTAACATAATATTAGTATATTATTTTAAATACATATATTCATATATAAATTATATATATATAACAGGTAACTCCAAACGTTTTAGAAAAAAACATCGAACTCTTTAAGGTAAATACTTACATATAGGTTGAAACCCTGTGCGGAGGTAGGTATGAAGGATATACGGATTTCTATGTGCCGGACGTGTATTATAATGATTATCCGTCTAGAGTTGATTTCAACAAATGGAATGGGTGCCTACGTGGAGAAATTCGAAATTTTAGAAACGTGTGACACGTGACTTATGTTGTCGGGTCTCGTCGGATAAAACCGTATTTTATCCATTTAATCCATTAAACGGGAGATGCCACGATTTTATACGGAACCATAATAATTATTAAACGCCTCCAAAAGTGGTTGGATGTAGATTGTGGGTCGATAGTTATGTTGTCACCATAATATTATTTACAATTTAGGTAGTATTATATTTGAAAGCAGCTTCTCTGTTAAGAGCTGTTGCTGAAATTCTGCAGAACCGTGGTTCTGGATGGATGATATTCTTTCAGAATTATTTTATTTTTTCGGGCATCGGGTTTCTGTTAATATACACTGTTCGCTATAAACACGAGTCGATGCAGTTTTCGATTAGAAAAAAACGAAAAAGGCTCCAGGGATTTGGGTAGTGGCTCACACCCTGAGTGCAGTTTATAGATAAATTATAATCACAAACTTAAATTTTCGTGTACGACGACCGCAAGTACATAACACGTGATTTGAACGTGGTCGACGCATAATATATTAATTAATGTATAATATTATAATATAGAAGAAGTACCTGTATACAGTTATGTTTAGTATTAATAATATAATATATTATGTATAATAATAATAATAATTCAGTCGGATGAAAAGTAATATATTTTAATGCGTTCGAGATATCAAAAAACGAAAAATAAATAATGTCAACATAATATTGTGCGTGTAATTTTTGCGGTTTTTTGTATTTTTTGATCATAATGTAACCTCTGACGGTAATATTATATGGTCGCTGAAGAGTAGAGATACGCAATCGCGTCTATTCGGCTCAAATCTGTCGAGTTCAAGAGTCATGTGTAAAAAGCTCGCAAAAAATTTGAATCTCGATATCCGGGTACAGCGGTTTCCTATAAAGAAAGGCTTTCTGGTACGACACATGTTCTGGAAATGATGTTGGATTTGTGAAGGTGGTCAGGAGGGATTGATCGACCCCCCCCCTCCGGATGGGTATAGTTGAAAATAAACTGTGATGCCGAAAACATAATGCCCCACTTACAAAAACGCCAGAATGGCAGAATGTTAAATATTTGACATAGAAATTGCCGATTTCGTATTAATTCTCGTCGACAATATATTGTAAAGTTCAAAGATGTCATTTTCTATTCGGATGATATTTTGATATATCATATATATCATTACCTATACCTGATAGGTGTAAGTATATGAGTGATTATATTATTTTTTGGAAGTAAATTTCGTTTTAAAATCAATCAGTGGTGCATTTTGTTTGCGGGTGACAGAATAATAGGTTTGGGTAAGTTGGAACTTGTGAGTACCAGCAGGGTGCAGTTATGAAGAAAATATAACAGTGTAGGTGTTTAATATGTTCTGTGCACAATGCACAGTACATAGTATTTATATATACAATCAGTGCCACAAAGATATTAACTGTTCTATCCGATTTCATAAATATTTTGTATTCTTACCACAATTAATATCAATATGCTTGCATGTTGTTAAGAAATTGGGCATCAGAAGTCATTGCATAGATAAGTTTTCATAATATAAGACACAGGATAATAATACCGTCGTATGGAATTTATATTTCAATTTAATGTTTTTAAAAATTATTTAAAAAATATATTGTTGTTGAGTTAAAATTATAAATGTTGATACATTTTAAATAGTATTTCTTAAGTACCAAGAAATTAAAAATATTGAGCACGGGCAATTTTCAACCACATGCGTAATTTAACTAATACAAAACCATTCGAATTCACGAGTCCGAGTCAAACGATCCTCTCGTCCAATGTGTGTGAGTGGAATTTTATTTCATGTATAGACATTATGACACAAATTTAAAATAAATTAAACTTTATAAATATTATTAGAATTTTTATTTAATACTATTTGTATGTGTTATATATATAGGTATTTAGAGAGATATTTTGGCCCGCTGACGAGTTATCCGATGACGAAACGAAACAATAACGGTAAGTATTGAATAATTAAATTAAATATTATTAACTAAACTAAATTTATAAGATATTATATTCAATTATCATTTAATTAACAAAAATAGAAAATTTTTTTTTCCATAATCGAATATAGCACAGTACAAAGAACGGTTGAACGCATGTATAATATATATTTTTTTATGTGGTATGTATGACGATAAATGTAAGGGTCGATAATTTTTGACATCATGCCGAACATCACAATGTTGCTTTACACAAAACTACTTACAATTTTTAATGTAAATTGAGTCTTAAATATATTCGTTCTTTTAATTGTACTAAATATTTTTACAGTTTTTTTAATTTTAATACAATAAGGAGGGGGGCTATTTTTTAGTCCAGAAAATATTATTTAAGTATCATTTTTAAATAAGACTTAAGAAGATGCACCCTAATTTGTTGAATTTTACTTTTAAAATACGTTATAGTATATAGTATAACATTTTATTTTAAAACTTTAACAGTATCTCAATCATAAATTAAATAATAAAAAAAATATATCTGATCACGTTTTTAGAATTAAAAATAATGGTTGACTTGTAAAAACCAAGTCGATAAATGTAATTTAGGGTAAGTACAAAGAAAGGCTTACCCACGATGGGTTTTTAGAATACTCATGAATTTTGTGTATTTAAAAATACCAAAACAGAAAATTGTACACTAAGTCAATATTTTAAGGTATTGACTAATAAATAGGTGGGTAAGTACTCCGAATAAAGTATAAATATTTCGATCACCATATTGTACTGCATACCCTTTAATTATTGTAAAATAATGATCAGAAGACGTCATATGCGCTTTCGCACTGTATACTGAAAAGTTTGCAGTGGATGTATGGATCGAGCCTAGTCATTTTTGTGAGTCAATGATTCAATGTAATAAAATGCTGTAATTGTTTATGTATTTTATGCCTTGTTTTGTGTTTTCTATTTCCAAACGCTTAATGCGTATTTTATACATAACACAGAAGGATTGTTAGAAGATAATAATAATATACAGTTAATAATAATAATAATAATAATAATAATAATAATAATAATAATTTTAAAGTACTGCAGTAGGTAGCGTATCTAAGCGGTTTTGGCACGAATGCACTTGTTGTGCATTGACACCGCATAATGATATGACGCTCTCCCCCGCGATGGTAGTATAAATTATTATAATATAGGTGTATACGGTATCCGTGTGGACGTCGGTAATGGAATTAATTTTTTTTTTAGTTAAATAAAAAAAAATCTTCCTCCAGGTCTGTGGCTAACCACGGTTGGTCAATGCCGATGACGGGCAGCCGCCTGAATATGCCAAAGGTAGTGATGCGCGGTAATAACAATTTTTTTTACAAAATATTATGTAGGTACGCGTTAAAGCATTTTTTTTTATAAATTATATGGTGAGTAACGACCGTCGGAAAGTTCATGTCTTGTGCAGCAGCAGATTAGTCGCGTTCAGACCTGTCGTCGGCGATGCTGTGCAACTCCTGCTAGCCGACGTCCGGGACTTGCTCTCCGTCAGTTTGAGGTTCTCGACGGTTTTGTTTTCGTTCGAGTCGTCGGCCTCGTTGACGCATTTCCGGTCGTATGGGCCGACCACGCCGGTGAGAGCGTTCAAAGGTATCCGGTACAGGCGCAACGGTTTAGTTTCCGGAGACACTGAAAACACGAAGAGTCTGGCATTAGGATTCGAACGACGCAAATTATTTACCTTCTACTAATAGTTATAGTAAAGCAGTATAATATCATTTTACTAGAAAGTGCCGTCAGTATTCGGATGTATCCTACCAGGTGTTTGGAATCGGATTTGTCGGATATCCTGATAAGATTAAAATTTTCTTAAGTGTATTTTTCGATTACCAGGCCATTGTATTATGTTGAATTATTATTGTAATAAAAATGAGTTGATAAGTTTATACACTGACAAGGTTATATACATGGTAAATATTAATTATTAATTTTATGATCATTTAATATTATTAAATGATCATTTTACGAATCGGTATTTTCCAAAAATCTAAATGTATAATTTTTAAATCTAAAATCCAAATAAGTAATTTATAAAATGTATATATTACAGTTTATTTTCCCAGAACTACACACGCGTTTAGTCACACGAGGATGTGCCAAATCTGTATTTACTAGAAGAATTCGGTAGGTATTCACCCAAAGTCCTTCCCTATATCGATAAATACATTCTTATAGGTATTTTAATAAAACTTATAAATTCACCTGTGAAATATATCATTTTTACAGAGAAACAGGAATAAGGAATAAAAAAAATTCGAGTTGGCTAATGTCAAGTTAGTTACATGTTTTTGTTACACATTTAGATGATGAGGAAATCATCCATTTAAATTCTGGAAGTAGCTTAGGTGCGAAAAGTTGGATAAAAAATTTAAAATTTAAGTTTGAGTTCAACGTCAACATTTTCAAGTAGTTTAAATTGATCGATATCCCATGTGGCCATATTATGCATATTATTATATGTATATTTATAGGTTATAATATATGAGTCGGAATAAGGGGAGTTATTTTTTTAAAAGTTATTCATTATCTTTTTCTTACAAAAAAATATTTTATTTAAATATTCAATATATGGTGGTTTTGCATTTATGGTTATATTACATTTTATATTTACGTCATGTTCACTAAATATAATATGTTTGATAGTAGGTATAATGCCGACTGCTTTTCTGAACTGATATCGCCATTGCACCCAAGATATACATAATACTTAATATAGTAATGCATGTGTGTAATATTATAAGTACAATGTGAAAGTCACCGCGTCCCAATAAAGCTATATTTTGTATATTATTATAGATGCAGATTTTAATCGAATAAATATAGCTAAGACTTCGGTTGCATTGTGCTTACGCCCTACTCTATTATGTTAATGCCTATTATACTACCGAACAATTAATGAAGTAAGGTGTAGGTGAGTGCAACTGCAGTGCAAGTGCATTACGATAAATAAGCCATCACTGGAACAGGGTAAAACAAGAAATACCAACAGGTTTTCCCCGTGGCCCGCATGTACGTGTCCTAAAAAATACTATCGTTTGTCCAGACATTAATTACTCCTATTGGCTATTACTATAAATTATTTTTTCCTAATAATGTGATGCACAAAAATCAAAACTACTACACATAAAATATGCACACTTCTTCAACCTTGGGCCATGTACCTACTCAAAACAGTCTTTGAATACTTTTTGTCGGTTTTAATCGAGAAATGGTAAAGCACTGAATAGGTACAATGTCATATTATATTTGCCTGTTACAACGCGGTGTGCTAACAAAATATTTTCATAATATAACTCAAATTAAATACGCTAATATTAATTGTGTGTTCACTATTGTTGTCGAAACGGTTTAATGACTACGTCTTGGTCGCTATACCCAGTAAGTACTTTTATAATATTTCGCTGGAAAAAATCTAAATTCAACGTATAAATACGGTATTGTTTTTTTTATTATTATTATTTTATCAAAAAGCATAACAACTAAATAAACTTCTCGGAATAAATCAAACATTGCAAATTAATTGAAGTCAATTTTGAATTGAGTTTTTACGAGTGCGTATACAAATCGAAATGTATTTTCGCTAGACCCTCGAAACGAAGACCTACGGTCGCCGCGGGTCTTTAGTTATTGATCAAATAATGTTAATACAGAATTGTATAAGTATGTTCAGCAGTATTAAATCAATTTCAAAAACAAAGAAATACTCGTTTGATACTTCTGATTTAAATAAGGAATACAGCTACTGTATGATTTTCCAACCTTTGGGCTTTGATGTTAAAATTCACGTTTTCTTACACGATCTTTGATTTAACACATTTAAGATTCGTATTATGTGTTCAATGAGAACGTTGCTTTTTTCTGCCCCCACCCCTTCCACTCAAAGTTAGACTTAAAGTTTGATAATGTTAAGCACATAGTTAAGCACTGTTTGTTCGTTAAATCGATTTTATATCGATTATATTAGCTGTAGGTATAATATATTATTTACACGAACTTATGAAATTATTTATTATTTTTTGTTTAAAACCTGGGAGTGTGGATAAGGATAGATTATACTATGTAATAAAAGATAAGTTTATTGCTTCACGGGAATATGAGTATTAAACCTTTTTTATACGGATAAACTACTGCTGAGTATAGTGTTTATTCAAACGACCTAAGTGTATTGTACTTATAATGCCTTATAACTATTAAATCAGGTTATATTAATGTCTCTTTTTGATATGATTTATCATGTGCCAGCTGCCAAGACTAAATTACCTATATATTTAACTTTATCTAGCTGTATAACCTAACACTTATATATATATTTATTTACAGTGTGGCGAAGCAGGCGGTGACATGCTTTCTCGTTCTGCTTTCTGTTGGTCCATTTGCAGTCTTTCCATTTTCCCGTGGAAAAATTCAGGAGCAGTAGTTGCGAAATATATGTCATTCTATGTCAAAAAAGTAATAGCAACGTTATATATAATATCAATAATAATAAGTAATTGAAAAATAAATTTTCTGAAATGAAAAATTTGATTTAAAAAAAAAAAGTAATTTAGTCTTTGACTCGTACCTTGGAACAAATTAACTTTAGTTTTGGCATAGCCATGGTCTGAACTAAATTGCCATTGATTATAAGTCTGATTTCCATTGTATCCGTGGTAAATGCTATGATGTACGGGAAGGAACACACTGTGGAAACATAAATAATTTTTAATATAATGTCTAAATAACATATTATAATAAAATCACCTGTAAGGAACATGTTTAATATTTAATAATACAACTACAGTATTATGTTATGGCTACGACTAAAAATTTTGGAAAATATCTTATTCCAGTTCAATCAGTATAAACATTTAATAAAACTTATTACAGCAATTCAACTATAGATAAAAATGTTGATAAATTAAAAATACACATCCCCAAGTTCGGTGTATCCAGATTATTCCTTCTAAATGGAAAATTATTTAAAAAAAAATCACGTTGGGTAGGTATAATTTAATATATAATATGATCGTTGAATATATGGATATATAACATAAGATTAAATTTATAATAATATTATGTAGTTGATAAAACGAAAAAAAATGTTGGCTTGTCGTTAAAATGAAACCGTGAAATGTCACGTCAGACGAATGAAAAAAATATAAAAACCGTCAGACGTTCCACTGCAGAACTCGACTGAACGGATTCTGCGGTCTCGTAAAGTTTGATTTTTCACCGTCACGCCAAACCGCAATGCTTAATTAGACACGTCGCTTATACGTACGGTCCATCACACAGACGATTCATTATAATTACCTATGTCTTTCGGAATGGAATTCCAATGGAAATCAAATTCAGTCGTATTGTTCGTCTCGCTGAGTTTTTGAAAATGACAAGTGTCTGTAAAACACGAAGCGCGCAATTAATTATAGACTCATTATACAGCCAATGTTAATGTACTAGAATGAATTTGAACGTGAATAGATCATAATATACAGAACCTGTAATGAATTTAAACACGTGGATTTTCATCTAGATTTATACGTGACGTATTTTTGTGTGTGTTGTATGTTTGTATATTGTATGTATATAATATATATATAAATATATATGAATGATACATGTATTTATAATGTATTTATAATGTGCATATATGAATGAAGAGTATGTATGTATGTATGTATGTATGTATGCATGAAGGTATGTGTGTGAGTATATATTTTTCAATTGATTTTACTGATTTCAGAAAGAAAGACTGACTCCAACGTTTAACCCGGTTATATTCCATGAAAAAATTTCATTTTTTAAAAATGGTATAATTTAATTTAATTATCTAAAACAGAATACTACTAAAATTTCGGTTCAGTAATTATCGAATATCGAAAGAATAGTTTTGTTTTTATTTATTTGCATTGTTTATAGAGCCAATATTAGATTGTCTAGTTAAAGTTTAGGCGAGGTACCTATGACTCATATTTATTATTATTACAACAGTGAACAGTTGTTTGTGAATCACCTCTGCCATTTCAATCCATTCTGCATGAAAACTATTCGCTATAAGCCCAAGACTATATTTTATACTGAGCAAATTAGCGTATCTGGTTAAATGGATCATCTTGCATGATATAAAATGCATTATATAATCCTATACGCGCCTATAATATTATTGGTTTTATCGATGTTTTTTTGACTGTGGTGTGTGCGTGACACAATCAGGATGAGCAGTGTTGTCGAGGTGAGGCGAGACGGGTAATTGACGTGCTATATCGCACCTCCCGACCCCCGATATAATAATGTACGCCCACCGATAAATTATATTTTATCATTATAAAGTTTAAGCGAGTTTATTTTATTTTTTCAAATTGAAAAATATGACTCACACTGGGGGGTATAATTTTTCCGTATAAATCGGATTGTATTGGCAGAGCCGTTCAAACTTTATGTGGACGAGGTAACTGTACACAGCTAAATAATGGGGACTGAATAAAAACCTACACTAAAACTAGAACGTATATACTATATAATATGTATACATAATATTTTATATTAAATTATTACGTATAAGATCGTAACTATCAGTATATTATAACATATACAAACATAATATTATTATGTTTATTTCATAAATAACGTACATTAAAAATCCCGAATATTAGGACCTGCAGTTACTGAGTTACGACAGAGAACCTTTATTATTTATTTAGTATTTGGCTTTTGAAGTGACTGGTAATATGTTTTATTTAGGTATATATACATAATATATAGGTATATCATGCTATTTAAATTGATCTGTCAACCCAGACTAAAAAAAAAAAGAAAAAAGAAAAGCATTGCAAAGTACAAGCCAAACATTGAATTTCCTGTACATCTGTACATGTTAGTATTGCATATTTGCACGGATGTGTACATTGGACAATATAATAACATATGGTATGAAGGATTTTTTTGAAGTAGGTGAGATAATGTCGGTGGTGGAGTCAAAATATCCGAATTATAAATAAATTATAGATTTCTGATTTATAGTTTTGTAAAATTAATTAGCGATGCAGTTTATGATATTCTGTTTTTTAAACTAAATATCTGATATATTTGCTTAAATATTTAACTTCAAATTTGGGAAAAAAAAAAATTTTTGCTTATAATTTTAGTTTTATATATAGGTATACATTAGGTGATGTGTGTGTGTAAGTAGCAACGAATTGTTGTTTTCTTATACCACTAATAGTTAAACATGTAACATGTAATAATAAATAATAATATAATATGCTAGATGTTTACACTATAAACGGTCGAGTCTATAATAATTGATGTTCGCGCGTATTAAAATTTTTAGAAATATATTCGGTTGGAATAAATAAAATTGAAATGAGCTTTACAAAAAACTGAGGAACTGGGCGTTGTACCTAAATTTGCAAATGTAAGTGAAAGTGTGTGTGTGTGTGTGTGTGTGTGTGTTCACGAATGAAAAAAAAAAGTCTTTACTGTTATAGCACAACAGCAACTCAGGCTCCTCGTCCTCGTAGAGATCGGTGGCCGACACCAGGTGAGCTTTGGTGCCCTCTTGGACTGCAAACAACCGGCGGGCGGTGCCCGATCCGTCGGTGATGATGTCAAACTGATGTTTGTATCCGACGCATATGCTGCAAGTGTCCGAGTTGCCACCGACGGCCGACTCGATTAGAGTGATGATCGACGGCTGTTCGGCGATTTGGAATTCCTGTATAACATGACAACAATGATTCTATTATCAATCGTATAGACGTACTCCAGATTTTTTATTTTTCTAAAAAATATCCACTAGATTCCTCTCACCCACCTTTTTCCTTAAAAAGTACTAGAACCAAACTCCAGCAGCCTTAGTCAGTTACTCTCCTCTAATAGTGAGGGCATTTCATTAAGTAAATCAAATAATCGAGGGTAAAATTGATTTAAATTGTGAGGTTCCACCACAAACCATTGTTTAGAAAAATCTAATCAAGTATGACTACACAAAATTATATTTTGCGATAATTGATATTGAATTAAAAATATTAAATTATAACGAAAACCATGGAACTCACTCTGCTGTACAGTTAGGTGTCGAGTTTAAAAAATTCTGATTGAGTATAAATAACTGCAATGGATGTGTTAAATTTTAATTCCATAATCATTGTATATGAAAAAAGATTTTGAGTGGATATGATGTGATCTATTTCTAAGGATATTTTATAATAGTATACAAATATAGCTGCAAGTATTGTTATTAATTTTTTATTTAAATAGACAATACCGAAGTACAACGTACTATAGAATGGTAAAATGGATTAAAACTATATCAAATATTTTGAAAATGCCATTGTATATAGAAAATAATAGCATATGACGTTACGTATAGAATTAGTTTCTGCAACTAATATCTCTTGTATTACAACATAATTATAATTATTACAACGAAATAATTAACAACTACAATTGTTGAAGGAAAAAAGTTGCTTATTGTTAAAAATGTGTAAATATACATTTTTTTCTTAAAAATTTGATCTTCAAAAGATTTAAAAAAAATATAACTATCGATGATACATTTTTTTTTTTGATGAATCTTTAGCAGATATCTTTAATTTATCGTTTATTCTAGTGGAATTGTTGTATGTCTATGGGCCTATTGGGATATTATACTGTGTATCCATTTAGACACAGAAAACCTCCATAAAAATCGGCTTGGTGAGTTGTTTGATATCATACATCGTATCTTGTATTTACTATTCGCTACCAGAATTTTAGAGACACATAATAAAGTCATGAACTGAAAATGTACGAGGCCTCGTCATATCATATTACATACGGATATGAGACTCAAATTGCTTTATTTCGTTTCCATGCCTGTGGCGGTCACACAATCCTAATTAAGTCTACAAGATACACCACAATTGTGAAAATTAATACTCTCTAAGCACGAAGCAAATAATTTCAGAAAAAGAAAGCGTGCGTGTTTAATTTAAAAATAGGGAGAGGTACTATAAAATTACAGAATGATACACAACCGTGTTATTTTTCTATTTTATCAATTAAAATAACAAAATAATTAAAGTGTAGGCAGTATATTGTATTATTTTAATAAATGCTTTGAAATAAAATGAAATAAAAGTGTTGTTGTTGTAGATTAGAAAGTAAAATTCAATTTCACCTGGTATTAAATTGATATCTTGTACACTTATGTAGTAACAAGTTGTTTTACTTTTTCAACATTTCAACAGAATCTATTATTCTATTAATCTATTAATTCTATTATTGTACATCTAATGAAAGTGTCAACAAATATAAATCACATCAAGTTTCAATCCGTAAAATCTTAAATCAAACTGAATGATATATAGTACCCCATAGGATATAATTATTCATTATGGAGGTTATTAATAGATCCCTGGGGCAAACGATACGAAGGTTCTTGACAAGAGGAATCGACTTTGTGCGGATGGTGCTGCACTGACCTACACTAAAGTGCAGTGAAATGTTCAGAATTTTTCAAAATTGGGAGGGTTTTTATAACTTTGATTAACTGTAATAAAGATAAAAGTCTTATAATTATAGTTATAAATGTTCAAATTTAAGGTGTTTATTATACGTAGGTGTATAGTCCGTAATTTGGTTGAACATTAGCTATCGATTATGTACATCGAGTGAATTGGACAAATATAGAGAGCTAGTGTGAAGTTTGTTTCCCAAATAAATTTTGATCACAACATGGTGCTCGTTAGCTAACGAACTTTACCTTCGACTTCTACATAAATACCAATGATTAGTCAAAATATATTTGAACAAGCATTAGACGTAAAACGAATTAACGAATGCATCACTAATCTAAATTGGTTTAATTGACTTATTCTGGCTATTTTCCGGACATCCGAGTCTCGACGATATTACCAATAGTATCGTACTTTTGTACGAATAATTTACACGTATATTATGCAACACTATGTTAAAATATTTACCCTCAGATACATGAACCCTTCGACCGTGTCCGTGTCGCTGGCCGGGCACCAAGCTGTCCAGGCGGCCGAGTGTTTCCATTGCATCAGCGTCAGTTTGCGGTTCACACAGATTACCTGTCGGGTAGAAAACTGAAATATTACATGGACCACCTACGAGGTGGGGCGGCGATAGTTCGGGTTAAAAACTGTTGCTAGGGGCTAAAAAATGGTTGTGACCATGACGGGTATACACACATATATACAAATTATATCTGACGAGTACCACCTACGTCCTATGATATACGATAATTGTGTACCTGAACAATATATCATCATAATACGCGGCACTGGCAATATGATATGAGCAACATATTCGAAGGCCGAAATTCGCTCAGCAACGGTAAATACACTTTTCTCGACCTCTCTCTAGCGACACCGCTTTCAACACCACAGTAATTAAGTAATTATAGTCACTTGCTGTAATGCCGATAACGTATGTATATACGTAATTTATAGTGAACAGTATTTGTCACGATATGACGGGATAAAACGTTTGCATGGTCTGCACATTTTATGTAAACTATAATGATGTCGAGTTACACTCTCCAAAAAACGTTTAGTTATAACCACTTATATTTGATAACTAAAGCTAGGATTTTAATGACCTAAAAAATATACAAAAATGCACTAAAAAAAAAATGCAAAAATGACCTAAAACCTATAAAAAACGAACTTAAAAAATGACCAAAAAATATACTTAGATGATCGAAAAAATGTATTTTAAAAATAAATATTACTATTAATTATAAATTAATTAATTATGAACATAATAGGCTTATGAATGTAACCGCTTTCTAAAATAATTATTCTTTAAAATTAATAAAAGTATAAATTAAAATAATTTAATGAAAAATATATCATATTTTTTTTACNAAATAATTATTATTTAAAATTAATAAAAGCATAAATTAAAATAATTTAATGAAAAATATATCATATTTTTTTTTCACCTGTACACATATCATTGCGTCGCACAATTAGATGATTTTTAAGATTTTCAAACAGGAAGCTGCAACGGAGGTCAGATAAAATGTTTTTAGGTATATGAAGAAAAACTTCGTTCAACGTCCACAGAATTAACAGGGGTATATTTGAAATTAACCATATCATTTAAAGTTAGGTCTTCCGGAATACCATCTCTACTTGTTGTATTTTCACCGTCCAGAATAGCAGATATATTTTTGAAAACTTCGAACCCATGATTTTTCATCAAAATATTTTTCAGTTTGTTTGATATTGTTTCTCCGATTACATTAGGGTAACGGACAATGTAGTCTCAATATGTTTTATTTTATTATTATATTCTGATAGTAAGATTCCAGGAGCCTCCAGATTTTTTTATTTCTGAAGGAATGAAACCAAAATTAGATTTTATATAAATTAAATTAGCCTCTAAACTTGATTTAGACATAAGTTCTTTTGATTCTTTTATAGTAGTCGAATCATCATGATTTAATTCAAGCATAACTTTTTTTACATAAGAAAAACTCTCACAGTTGTAATTTACAGCATTTAGCCAGGTTCCCCATCACGTGATTACGGGTTCGGGCGGCAATGGAATTTCTGGAGCAAGAGTTTTAAACATTTGTGTACGATTTGATGATTTAAAAAATTTCTTTTTTACCCAACTTATAAGTTTATTGACATCTTGAAAATTTGATCTTATTTCTTCCGCAACTTTATGAATTGCATGCTCCATACAGGTAACATGCACCATTTTTGAATACAGAGTGCAAATGGCTCTTCCTGCTTTCGTCATATATGGAGCAGCATCAGATACAAAAATGAGGACATTATCCTGTTTTATTCATTCAGGCCACAATGTAAACATTGCCTTATCGAATGCTTTTGCAATGGTCGAATGATATGTTTTTTGCAAGACATCAGACTATAACTGAATATATCCTGATTTTTTTGCTTCCAGAGTACCATTAACGGTATTTACTACATTACAGCTTTCAACATCTGTCGTTTCATCTACACTTATGCAAATTTTTTTTTATCATGGTGTCTAATATTTCGTATTGTATTAAATAGCATTTTTCAACATAGTTTTTACGCAATTTAGACTCGTCTGGGATTTTAAATTTTATATTTTTTTCTAAAAAATTCTAAAATTTGTGTTATTTAATTTAGCAAGTGGAATATTGGCTGCCAATAATGTTTCACAAAGCTCTAAATTAAATGACGATTGATCACTATTATTTGTTAAATTAGATCATAAAACTTGATTATTTTGTTTCACTTCATTCAGTTTTAGTTGAATTTCACGAGCATGCTTATCTCAACTGATGCGTTGTTGAATTGTAAATTTATTTTCGGAGGCAACTGCGACATTACAAACTTTACAAAAAAGCATCATGCCGTCCGTGGAAAAAATATCGGCACCAAACTCGCTCACAAAACTCTGTAAACGGTTCCTACTGTTGACTTAACTTTTGGCATTTTGTACAGTTAAGATCGATAGAACGACATAGGTAGGTACTTTTTGAATTCACTACTAAAGCTACTATTGTATGCCTAAATAGTTATCGGTTCGTTCGATATTTAATCTTATCGGATAAATCGACAATTAATTATATTAATTTTTCAATATTAATGGACTGGAGTAGGTAATTTCCTATAGGTACTAGTTGGGATTACTTTTACAACACATACAAAAATCTTAAAATAAACAAAAATTAGTTTAAATACACAAAATGAAAGTAATATTTGTAATATTACTAAAAAATGACCTTAAAAATTCAAATAAAATGCATTTAACACAAAATATGCAAAAAATGCAAAAAAATGTAAAATACAAATTACATATTATAAATTGTTATATTAAGAAACAAATTTAGTTTTTGGTTAGAATTATATAACACTTAGAGAAAAAAATGCAAAATTAACCAAAATCCTAGCTCTAGTGACAACCATTTACTTACTCGGCGATTTAAAATTTGTATTTGTCATCGTAGTTACGATTTCTTCATTCACAATATTTTTAATAACAATACTAATAATCAATTTTTTAAACAAAATATCGATAAGAAGTAACTACCTATATATTAAAGGAATTTTCATTTACCGAGTTGCATATGTACTATTACTATTTTCAATTTTTAATTGATTTGTTAAATATTTTTCAATATTGAACAGTGATTAGTTTAAAAATCGTTTATGTGTCATGCTAGTCCTTAGCAATTTTGCACTCACCGAATTATAAGAATCATTACATAAGTGTAAGTAGATAGTTAATCAAGTTATTTGAAGGGGCGGAGGGGGGGGTCTATCTAAAATTTAAGGTTGCTAAGTACACCCTATCTCCATTTTACGCTTATGACCTCCTGGCGTTTCCCCCATAGTTCAACCTGCAGTGTTCGGTTAACTCGGTGAAACACCCAACCCCTAGCTGTATCATTTATAGTGGTGGTATATTAATGCGTGCATAATACAGTTTTTGCATAAACAAAAAAATGTTTACTTTTAATTAACCAACATAAATATTAAAACTGTTGTTGTATTCGCATCTGCTGCAGAGATTATTTCCGACGAAAAAATATATGCGTATTATATGCATTACAGCTATAGAAATAACGTCTATTATACAGTGGATGTACCTTATTATGAGTTATGACGAACGCGGTTCGCCGATTTTACGGTAACAGCGTCCATCACTGGTAATTTGATCGTAAGGTTAAATACTCGGAAAAACTAAACTTACTCTATTATCATTATTATTATTAAATGTGTTAGTAGTACGTAAGCGGTCTGCGTGTTTCTACACACTTTCGCATTATTATATCGCCCTCAATAAAATATGTTGCTGCGTTTCAAAATATTCAAGACCAGTGCTTTACTATATACCAAGTACTGTACTGTGTACAGAGTGGTTTTATACCTAACCACCAGGAAATAAAATAATATAAAGGTATCACATTATATGCTTTTTTCACTTTTAACTTTTAACTGCAACTTACATAATATTTAAACTCCGAAAAATCTGCTATACCTTTTTTAATATTATTTTATACTATTATTATGATTTATGTGCCTAAAACTAAAATCGAATAAGATGTTGTCTTGTTCGTGAAAACTAAATGTCACTATAAAACATTAATAGGTAATAAAATTTACCATTTTGAGCCTCGAGCCCCCGGGCTTACTAATCGCGTACATACTGCAGCCCCTCGTGCGTTCTAGTTTATGGTCTTTGAGGTCCGGTTTGCTTTTTACTTCCGTCTGCATGTCAGCATCGAACTCGGACAGTCTGAACACGTATATCTTGCTGTCGCGCCCTGCAACCGTAAAACAAAACAAAGTTTAACCACCGTAAACGACACTATCCGACCGGTTTCAAAAAAACAGAGCCACTTGCCGGTCACCACTCGCACTATTATAATAGCACTCATACTCACCTTTTTCGGTCCTGAACAAAAGGATACCGTGAGCTTCTACGACGTTCAACTGATTGGCTTGTATCGCCTTGTCGAAGATTTGCCTCTGAGACACGCCATCTGCGGACGAATAAAAATTGAAACGTTATGGTCGAATTTCAAGCGATTAATAAATGACTATATAAACACAAGCGGGATCCAGAAAAGTTTGTTTAACGTCCGATGAACAAATAATGTAAAATTTGTGTGCTCCGTGGAAACCTCAGTACGTAGGCATAGTATAATAGATAGGTTCATATGCGTTTAGCACAGGACGGGTTTGCAGACATAAATATATCGATTGTGTATAATTCTAAAATGTATTAGTGTGTATAGAAAGTGTCGCTTAATAATTTAAAGCCGTTCAAAGGTTTTAAATAAACTTAATTCCAGTGGCACTCGGATTCGTCTGACTACCAGAGAAAATCGAATTCACGCAGTCATAAACCATTAGAATTAAGGACGATACAAAGGCCAGTGTTTTTAATAGGATTTGTATTTAAAAGAGTTAAGGGCTTGTTTATAATGTTGATTGATTTTTAAAACGTATATAGAGGTATATAAGTATAAATTGTATAAATTATTGGTATATTATTAAAGTCGAAAAACAATAACTTTTACGGAATATTTCCAATAAATTAATAATTAAATTTAAAGCTATTGTTGTCCGTGGTTACAGTGTAATATAATTACTATATATAATTTATTCATATATATATATATAAATAAAATACATTTTAATTCAAACGAAATATTTTAAAATTAATTTAATGTTGAAACCAGCAAATAATGCTTTTATTTTTCTTAAAAAAACATCTTTCGTAGTTTCGTTATGATTTTGTTAATTTTTAAACGAAGGATTCTAAAAATATATTCATGAAACCTTTATTTTCTTTTGTGTTGAATAATGAAATCAAGAGTAATTGGTTTTGGTTCAAGTTATATTTTTGAATATCATACAACAAGAAAAACAACGAATAATACGTTTTTTACTTTTAACAATAACACCAGCTATTGTATTAGAAAAAACGAATGCATATTCGTCATCGAAGTTAATTTTAATTGTCATGAATGCAAATATGCAGTACACCATTATTATAAATGGTTAAATTGTTGAACGAACCATTAAATCACATCACTTATTTTGTTTCTATTGTTTTTCGAATCAAACACATCTGACACTTATATAACTTAAGCATTTGACCTAAAAAACAATTTCGATACGCGTGGGCCGCTGGCATATATACGTTTGTTTTCCACAATTATGTTTTAGTTGTACTGTTTCTGAAATTTCATAAATACACAATAACAGTGTCGGAGTAATATGTGTGTAATCAGAATCTGAACACGAACATTCAATCATGTGAAATTAATTGGTGTCGAAACTATTTTAACCATATTATTAATCAAGTTATCCGACATAAAGATTTGAGTTACAAATGTTCACAATTGATCTTATACGTATGATACATAATCTGTGAACTCAATATTATAACAAAATATATCTAACTCAGAAGTCATAATATTTAATAATTTAAAACTTAAGAATATGATTAATCCGATCATGAATCACCGTGTATTATGTAAAAGCCCACAAAATCATCTTACAATAAACAATACATTATATTAAATAGATACATTTTATATTTTAATTGATTTGCGGTTCAATTAAACTTAATTATACTATTATACTTAATAGTTAATATTATGATATTACTATAAATCTAAATCTCATATTATTGTGGGATGTAGTGAAATCCGTGTATTCAATATTAAACACAGTTGAGTTGGTCTTAAAGTATTTTTTGATATATCAATAATAATATTTATATTAAAATTTAAAATATGAAAAAAAAAAGAAATGCTTCATTTTGAACTAACGAAGTTGATAAGTTTTGTTTTTAAAACATTAAAGGTGAATGTTTTCTACAACTATATTTATAGTTTTTATTTATCTTTTTCTCCATGTATAACAATGTATCTACTCAATCGTGGTGTTTAAATGATTAAAATAACAAAACAAAAAAAAAACCATTGTCAAGAATTCAAATTACTATTTTACAAACATACATCTTAATTTATTTTATGGAAAGAAAGCAATAAAGGAAGAAGAATAATATACATGATAAGACAACAAGCAAAAAAAAAAAATTAAAAGTTTTTCTGAACGAACAAGGATTTGAGAATAAAAACTTAAAAGATTTTCGTTAAATTAAGGTTTACTCGATAAAAAAATTGAAATTTAAAACTGTAATATTAGAAATAAAAATTAAAAAAGTTTTATATAACTGCAGGTATAAGACCAAGAAGGGGCTTAGTTGCTCAATTTTTCAACACGTAAACTATTTTTTTTATATATAACGCAGAAAAAATAACATTATATAAGAGATGGTTTTGGTGAGGGCGAGAGAGGACCGATCTAATCTTTTGATGTATCGCTATTCATTTTTGAACAAGTGATTTAAAGGCTAGAGACACCCGGTTGATATTTATGGGTAGGAGAAAGAAGTGTCTTCACCAGTATAATTTATTATCATCCATTTAATGACATCCCACTCAGCTCGTTCACCCCTGAACCACTTGTTCGAAAAGTGGACAGAGATTAATATATATAACATCTATATCATTTCTATATATAATAAACTGAAGGGTGGGCCGCCGTGTTTTCTTATAACAAAATATAGATTAAATAGGTAGTATATTATACGTCAGGAAGCTAAAAATAGAGTTTTACCAACACTTTGTTACAATTACACATATATCGAATACCATTTATAAAATAAAGTCGCAGTAAACATCGCAGAAAAAAATATATTAAAAATAAATATTGTGTTTCCCACAATGTTGAGGAACCCCAATGATTTTGTTGTACTTACGAAAAACACGTTACAAAAAATATTCGTCACCATATTGAATCAGGTTCGTGTTGTTTGTACGTATATAATATATATATGAATTGATGTTATTAATTATTATTGTAATACACTCGTAACACCGTCAAGTGCACAAGAGTATCCCGTTTCAATGTTCGTCATGATTCATGAATAACAAAATATTGTAAAATCGTATTGGTTGGAATGCCGATTTATTATCCGATTTATTAGATATTGGAGTGTCCGGTGTACCAGTGACTGGTAAAAAAGACGAGAAAAAGTAAATATTTAAAGGTACTTCATCTACGAAGTCCATGTCTCAGGAGTCGTAAGAAGTCTAAGCCTCGGACGAAATGTAAAATAATTAAACCATAGTGTTTATTAGTTCATCGGTAGTTGTAGACGGATTAATTTAACATACGGCCAGTAATAGTAAACAAAACAAAAACCCAAGCTAACGGATAAACTTCTATGAATAATTTACTGTTAAACTGTAAGACGCGTAGGAATAGTTATAGTAACTAATACGACTTTAAAAATATATAATCTTCCATTATATTATTTATCAATAAAACGCTTTATCCGGAGTATGTTTCGTGTTCCAATATAGATTTACTTTTATGTGAGACCTTTAATAATATTTATTATTGCTTAAAGTGGTTTCCTTGTGTTTTTCAATGTCTGGCTCAACAGTAGTTACTTAAATTAATTCAATACATATAAGTACATTAACATTCTAGCAATTCATGGTACTCAAGACTTAATAGAATTCTAAAATAGGGTTTTTTAATGTTTAACTTTAAACTTTAATGTTTGGTTGTACTAAAAATTATTCAAGCATTTTTTGGGTTAAAATGTAAAAAGTAAAACACTTTTCTCTATAACACAATCATATAGTCAAAATTATTATTTAATAATATGGCATCGTCAAAAAGTCGATTTTACAATAAACATTCAATTTAGGTGGTATATTTGATTTCAGACTTCTGTTATTCCCGGTATTTTAAAAGTATTAAAACAATATAATGTATTTCAAATTATAATAAGTTTCATCTGTATATATTATAAATTAAGATGTACTAAATCACTAATCAACGTATAGACAAAACTATGATAGCTAGATACCCAACATTCTCGTGGGAACTTCGAAGCAGTAACTTCTTTATTCCGTGGATTACCAATAGAAATATAACTCCAACTGATTACTTTGTGATTTTTAAACGTACATGATTAATAAAATATGTAATATTCCCCAAATCACGCATACATGCATTTGGCTGTCTTTTTGTCTGTTTGTAAAAGAAAGACTTCGAAATTGATAAAACGATTTTGACGAATTCTTAACTGGTATTTTATTATTTAATGGAAAACGGAAAATTATAGATTAATATATTCACTTTAACTCGAGGATAGTCTTATAATATAGTTTGTAATAATATAAATGTATAAATTTCTATCCTGAACATTTGATAACACGGCGATTTAGATAGGCAATTTAGCTACATCACGGTATTGAGTTTCTATTTTTCCTGTGTCTTTATAAGATACTCTTTAACTTTTGACACCAGTTATTTGAGTTATAACTATAGATAAATGTTTATCTCAATAATATACAAGTTTATCAGTAGGCTTGAAAGTATTAAAATATCACCAGGAAGACTTTTTTAGAATTATTCCTGAGAATTGTATGCGACCAGACCACAATACGGATGTAGTTCTGTAACTCGGCGAATACCTTCAATAGGTACCTACCTATTCAATACCTACCTTCAATAAGTTTTGAAAACCCTTTCATTCAAATGATTTGAGTAAAATTATTTCGCAGATCCAAGAGAGATTCATACACATAGAATTGAAAAATTTGTTTTTATTCGTCAATGAATTCTGCATCTTCATATTTATAAGTTATTACACTTGTTGTGATTTGAGGCATTTGAGGAATATTCAAGGTGTAATATTCAAAAGTTAAGTTGCTTCTGTTTTGTCCAAACATTGTTGATTACAACTAGGTTTGCTCGGAAAAAATTAGAAATGTTACGTTTTACCTAAGTACTGTGCGCAGATCACCCACCCTAGGACATTTCTGGGACTTGTCCAAATATTTTTACTCATTTATTATGTTACTGTCATAGAGAAGAATATGAAATTATACATAATACAAAGCATTTTTTAACACTGGGCCCTTTCACTTGAAAAGTAATAATGTTT